CCAAGACAAACCTGTAGGTTAGGTTCAGCCAATTTATCACTTGGATAGTAGCTATGTTTGAATTTTGTTGAAATTTTCCTGTACTAAATAAGGGTCACTTGTAGGAAAGGGATAATATGGAATCTAAAATATTTATTAGAGAAACATTTAGTGTTGATAAAAATAATAATTCCATGGCAGTAGTTCAAACTACAAGTTAAGGTACAGAGATTGAAGTATATATTCACCTCCTCAAGGGATCAATTTTTATTTAGGCAAGTGTGAAGGTAGGAATATTTGTATATTAGGTAAGTGTGAAAATGGGGAGTTTTCAAAAATGAAGGCAGGAATACATTAGCAAAGTACTCTCTAGCTAATAGGTACGGGAAATTCATTAAGGCCATAACTCATGGCACTGTTGCAAGGCCTAAGTTGGCTAAATCTTTAAACCATAACAACTTGTAGGCAAAAGGAGATGTTAAGATGGGGCGGGTAATGTTAAAAGACCAAGAACAAGGGTGTTGATGCCGAAGGCAGATAGATCTTGGAGAAGTTTAAATATCAGAAAAGGGAGACAAATGCTATCTTTGACCGAATTAACAAATTTGCAAATTTGGTTGATACATTTGCCTAATAAGGACTAAATAGGCATCAACTTTTGGATTGATGCTTATTTAGTGAAAAGTGCAAGTTCAATCTAAATCCACTTAATGTTGATTTTACTTTTTGGTGACAACAACAAACATTGGTCTGAGTGATTTGTTAAAATCAAAATAATTTCAAAAATCTTGACTATCATAATTCAAATGGATACATGACTTGCATATTACTTTGAACAACATATCATTTCTGATTTTGGAAGTGCATAGAAGCAAGCTTTCTCAGGAAAAATTAAAATGAGAATGATAATAATAAATCATGCTAAGTCCCACAAAAACCTACTTATCAAAGAAAAACATAAGTACTCCCAAAGAAACCTAGATATTTTGAGTGTACATTTATGGGTCCTATATTGCAAAACTTGCATATTGAAGTGTAAGTAACATATTTGTTACACTGTGATTGTTTGAGGATACTCTCCTAATCTTTTAGGAATGAAAGTAGATTACATATCTAGAATATTGGAAGGGTTTTAATGTAGGATACCAAGAAGAAGAGAAGATGGTGATAGGATTGATTCATATGATTTCAAAAAAGGAATTATCAAGCAAATGAATATTGATCTAGACCATAGTTCAGTACATAATTTAATTATCCAACCTAATAAGTTAAAAAAAAAAAAAATCTTCAAGAAATTCCTATTTCTAGAAACTTGAGATTCCAATAACCTTCCTAACACTCTTTTCTAAACATTAGATGCTTTCCTAGAACAATTTCCATGCCCAAAGAAATGATACCCAACATGGATGTGGATGGGTATTTATTTATTAATAAATATAATTTCATCTTCCCCTTCATTTTATTTATTTACTTATTTTGTCTTTTATGGAGCTCCACTAAAGTGAAAAGTTGATATAATCTGTTCAAGCTGTCAATTAACCTTTCAGGTTCATCTGCTTCAATCATGGGTCTTCACTTTTGTGTATTTCAAGGAAACTAATAAATGATGCAATCTCTCATGGATGTCAAGACCACGAGTATTTATTCTTCCATTGGTTTTCTTCTTCTTGTCCTTTCGGAAATTATATATGGTCTTATGGAAGCTTTTCATTTCTTTTGCAGCCATCTGAATCCGAAGATGAGAAGAGGAGAGTTTGAAGATTGCAGTGTACTATGAATGTGGACTAATCAGAATAAATTTTCTTTCCTTTTTTTCTTGTAAGACTAAAGTTTCAAGGTTGTGAAAAGTAGAACATAAGTTACTTTGTATTTAATTTTAATTTGGATGAACGGAGAGAAAACAAGTTGTTTTGTCTTTAATTAAATTTGGATGAATGGATAAATAAAATTACAAGTTTATTTAATAATTGAGATTTGTAACCAATTATAGGTTATTTTGACAAATTCAAGGTTATTTTGGAAGGTACAAATAGTGATTTCCACTATAGGTTTACAGCGGTAGTTGCAACTGTCGGTAGTAATCATGTTTTATCAATAGTCACTCAAACTGTYGCTAGAACTTTTAGCGATACATATTTTAGCGGCAGTTTGCCAATTGCCGGTAAAAGTTTTAGTGGCAATTTTCAATTCTTGATTGCCGCTAAAAGCTTTTTCTTTTTGTAGTGTGGGTTTAATATGGTTTTATTTTAAAATTTTTGGAATATAATCAAAGAATATTTCTTTGCGGTTTTCAAAGAATTTAGAATTCAGTTATAAGTTGAGAGTCAATGCTACCTTTCTAGCCTTGATTCCAAAGAAGAAAAAAGCTAAACAACCGAATGATTTTAAACTTATTAGTTTGGTGACAAGTGTGTATGAGATTTTGGCTAAGGTCCTATATTTGCTCATTCAAAAGGTTCTTCCCTTCATCATCAGTTAAGCCCAAGAAGTCTTTGACTAAGGGAGACAAATAATTAATTAGATTCTAATAGCAAATGAATGTGTAGAGGAGTTAAAGAAATCAGGTAATGAAGGTTTTGTTTGTAAACTACACATTGAAAAGGCCTATGATTTAGTGGATTGGAGCTTTTTGTTAGAGGTGCTAAGGAAGTATAGGTTTGGGGATAGACCATAGATGGTGTAAATGGATAAACGGTTGCCTTACCTCCTATCATTACTTTATCTTAGTCAATGGGGTTGTCAATGACTTTTTTCCTAGTTTTGACAAAGTGATCCACTACCTCATTTCTTATTCACACTAGTTGCTAATGCTTTCAATAGACTCATATCGGAGGCAGATAGGACTTGGTCAATAAGAGGGTGGAGAGTAGGTAGAGATAGAGTTCCAATTACTCATAATCAGTTTGCAGATGACATTATAATCTTTCGTAAGGGTTGTGATTTGATGAAAGTGAGAAATTTGAAGATTTTAATAACTCTCTTTTAGAGGGTCTCAAACTTGAAAATCAATTTTGAGAAGAGTTGTGTGGTGGGGATAAACCTGAATAGAGGGGAGATGGAGTCTATTGCAACTTGTCTAGATTGCACTTGGTTGCAGTGGCCTTTATCCTATTTAGGATTCCCCTTATGTGTTAACCCAAAGGAAAGCAGATTTTGGAACCCTATGATGGAAAAGTTTGAAAAAAGATTGGTAGCTTGGAAGGTAAACTATATATCCTTGGGGGGTGGGGGTAATCTTGACTAAAGCAATGCTAGCTAACTTGCCAATTTATTTTCTATCAGTCTTTAGGATTCCTAATAAGGAGGCTAAGAGGTTAGAAAAGTTGATTAGAGACTCCATATAAAATCCTAGGAAGAGAAAAAAGATCATTTGATTAAGTGAGAAGTGGTGAGCCAATGTAAAAAACAAGGGGCTTAGGGTTAGGGAATGTAGTGAGTAAGAATGAAGCTTTTCTACGCAAATGGCTTTGGAGGTGGCCCTTAAAGAGAGAGGTTATGGCATAAAGTGGTGAAAAGTATCCATGGTTGTTCAAAATCCAGTTGGTTCCTCTCCCCCCTCCCCCTATGGTTCTCCTATTGGCTTTAAACTAGGATTTTGGTTTTTTCATCCCTTCCTCTTGGGTGTTCCTAGTTAAAGAAATCTAGTCAAGGCCAATTCTTCCTAAAATAACTATTTTCTATTGAGAAGCCTTTTATGGTAAGATCAATACTTTGGAAAACATGCAAAAGAAGAGACCTTATTTATGTTGATCCCCAAACTAATGTATCTTATGTAAAGTGAAGAATGAGGACTATTACCATTTGTTGATATCCAGTTTTTTTGCTGTTAATTTTTGGAATTAGGTTTTAATACTATTTGGGAGCAGGTGAAACTTGCCCTTTGAAGTAAAGCTATTTTTTGAACTGCATGCCCTAGGGCAGTTGACAAAAATTGGGAATTTATTGTGGAAGTGTATGGGAGTAGCTTGGAAAGAGCAAAATGCTAGAGTATTCCAGGAAAAGGAAAGAAGCCTTGATGAAGTAAAGGAGTGTATCATGACAAGGACAATTTCCTAGCTAAAGACTTCAGATTTGTTGGTGAATTATTCCTTTGATGATCTAAGGAGAAATTGAGCAGTATTTGATAAAAATGGGTATAGGAGGAGTGGTAAAACTGAACTTTGACAGAAGCAGTCAAGGTAATCTAAGATCCTCAGGTATAGGAGGGATTCTGAGGAATAAGGACATTCTGAGGAATAAGGACAATAGCATCATCTCTTTATTCTTAGGACCAATGGGAATGGATGACTTTACAAGGGTCGAGATACTAGTGTGGTACAAGGAATACAAGTTGCTAGTCAACTTGGAGTGGAGAACTTGATAGTTGAAGGGGAYTCGAAGGTGGTAGTGGGCTGGCTGTCAAACATAGAAATAGTCTATTGGGGTTACAGGTATCTTCYGAAGAAAGTTCATTTGCTTACAAGGAATATGTTAATTTTTAATGGGTTCGTAGATTGGCAAATGCCATGGCTGATTTTTTAGCTAAAAAAAGAGTATCAAGGGGTGACTTGTTTTAGATACTCTAAAATACTCACCTATAAAATTTCATCCCAAAATACATTTGTTTGTCCTTCCATCGCATTTGGATTCCATGTCGAAGCCCCATATTGACTGAACTAGTACCCTTCTAGATCCGCTCGATCTGGGGCCCAGTTGGGCCTATTCCACCCTACCAATCCACACAGAACATCAAAAAACTCCACCCTACCAAATTTCAGCCAAAAGCACCCGAATTTACCCCTTTATTCAAAAGGATTCCATTTTGGTTAATCCCGTTAGCTCATACCCCTTCTTTGTGTACAAAAACCCTTCTCAACCCTTTTATCATTGACCCAAAACCCCCCATCGTTGAACCAAGACCCGATCCAAATTTCAAAATTACAAATCTGCCCCTGAATTTCCCGAGATTTCCCAAAATACCCCTAGCGCTCAATGTAAAAGTGACCGAATGTTTCGCGGCAGTCTCTTCTTTTCAGCGGCAACTGAGAAGCCTCTTCCCTCTCTCATTCTCCCCGTTTTTTCTCCACATTCCCTCCTTGTTCGTCTCCATCTTCCTTCCCGAGAACTAGAGGTCATTGTCGATAATCGTCTTCGTCAAGAGCACGCAGAGCGGCGGCACCGGAGCCATATTTCTGTCTCAGATTCCACTCTCTTCCTTCTTTTCTACCGGTTTTATTTTATTTATCTTCCTTTCTGTGCCCCGGACTCTTTTCTCTCTTTATTTTTCTTTTCCTCCCTTCCTTTTTCTCCGTCCCCTTTCATTGACGTCGTATACAGCGCGTCGTCCACCTCGGCTACCCAGTTACGAAAGATACTCCCTACCACTGGCAATCGATTGCTCCTTCTTCATTTTTTTCTGAACCAACCGTGGCAGATCCCATTGGATTCGGACGTCGCTCCCCTCATCAACACCATCTCCTCTGAACCAACCGTAGCAGATCCCATTGGATTCGGACGCCTCTCTCCTCATCAACACCATCTCCAAATCCTTGCCGTTCGAAGTGGAATATAAGACTAAGAGCAGACTCAAATTCCCAGTCGCCGATCATTCCCAGGCCATATTTTAATTAGGTGATTCTCATTCCTGTCTGTGCGTGGTTTTAATCGTTTTACTGTTTACTCGTTGGTTTCTCCGCATCTGAGGCTGGGAGGAGAGATACCTGGCTGATTTAACTCCGGTAACTCTCGGTACCAGCCCTGATTGGCTTGTTCGATTCCTCTTTTTTCTTCCACTGTGATAGATATGCGGATTTGGTTCGAACCCATTGGTTTATTTTGGTTTTCTGATTGCTAATGTTTTCAATATCTCGCGATGATTGTTTTAACCGAATCTATTAGCTGGATCTATCGTATCCAGTTTTCCCGGTCATTAGTGGTCATCGTCAATACTATTCATACTCTCTGGCTCTACTCTGTTTATTGAATTTCAAAATCCTTTCAAGTAGAGTAATTGAAAGATGCTGAATACTAGTAAATAATTCGGTTCCATCTATTCTCAGTAGCTTTATCAACTGATGTCTATAATCACCGCTATGTTTAAGGTGTGTGCAGCATGTGTTTATGTTATCTTAATGTTTGAGGTGTGTGCAGCATGTGTTTATGTTCTCTTAATCGTGAATGTTTGGTTTAATATTAGATTCTTTTATGAAACCCTTTGTGATGTTTTGTCTCTCTCTTTGTTTTATTATTCTCTTAGCCAATTGAATAATTATTATTTGTATTTGTGTTCGTTGATGTCCCATGTGGGTCTCACCTATTGGACCCGGGAAAGGGGTGCCTAACCCCTTCCCTCTCCCATCCAAGTCTAAAATGGACTGATGTATCTGTTGCCTCGAGCTTTGGAGTCACTATTTGATAAAAATGTTTTTTGATGCCCTTTATGGAGGTCCCATCACCTCCACCTCCTAATCTGATGGGTGGTGGCTCCATTTCAGCCCAAGTGAGCCGTTTTCTGACGCTTACAGTTTAGCTACACCATTTTGTTGAGGGGTATAAGTGCAAGAAGTTTGATGTATTATGCCATGTTGGTTCAAATATTGCTAAAAGGAAGTTAGAAAATATTCTTTGCCATTATCGAAACAAAGAATTTTAAGTGGAAGTCTAAATTGATTGTGAATTTTAGCAACAAAATTTTGAAAAATAGAGAACAATTCTGATCTTTCTTTCATAAGATACGCCATATCATTCGAGAGTAGTCATCAATGGAAATTACAAAGTACTTGAAACCATTTTAAGATTCAGCCATAGTTTTTGAAGAGTCTTGTCAATTATGGGCAACACTAGGGCACCTAGTCGCCTAGTTGCCTAAGTGGCGCCTAGGCAATCATAATTTTATAATATAAATAACCAACTTTTGGCTTGTTCCCAAGTTTTATATACCACTCAGAATGTATATTAATTGAAAATAGCATTTCTCTTTATTAAGAACATTAAATTTCCTTTAAAAATGTGGCAAATCATCACACCTAAATGATAAAAATCTTTTACATATATTAATTTCATTATTTTCAAAAATAATACTACTATAATAACTATTTAATAGAGCAATTTCATATCAACTATTAGCTAAATAAGGTTATTAACTTCATATGATAAATATTCAAGATGGAAAGTAAAATAGAAAAAAAACAATGATGGAGTTTCTGCTTTATTTAATTAGAGATAGAGAAAAAAGAAACTCTTTATACTTTAATTTTTTCTTTCTTTCTTTTTCTCTCTTCAAAGCCCTTTGATCTTTTAAATTTCAATAGTAAACATTGAAAGAACATGTGTATATATATATATATATAGCATATAATAAAACATATTAACACACATATTAATAAGATACACCAATACAAATGATGTATATTGATGTATATATCAAGCGCCTAGTCGCCTAGAAGGGTGCCTAGTTGCTATAAGTCAAGGCATTTGGTTGAGGCACCCAACCAAGAGTACCTAGTCGCCTAGGCGACGCCTCTACAACTATGGGTTTGACTCTACTAGGATCCCAAATGTTTGAATGACTTGAAGAAAAAGGATTTTATACTTGACAATCAACTTTAGGACTAAAAGACACATGATGATGTTTTGCAAATTGATGTGACTCAATCCAACGAAGAGATATGTTGCACTAATGGAACATGCAACTTAAGCGTTTGAAGTAAAGGGTGACCAAGCTGACAATGCCATTGTAGTTGGGGGGGGGGGGTAAGAGAGGACTAGACTGCTATTTTTGATCCACCATCATTGAGATAATATGATTCAACAGCTTCACACCCTCCACCATTTTTCATTCTCGTTGTAAGATCCTAAATAACACAAGAATAGAGAAAGAATGTAATGGAGTAATTAAGGAAATTAGTTAATTTACTTACATAAGATTAAAGGGAAATATAGGAACTTAGAAAATTGAAGATAAGGGTAAGGAGTTACGGGAAGGAGTCTAGGAGAGAGAAGAAAACACGCTTCAAGTCTCAATCATGTAATTGGAGGCTTCAGAATCAATAATCCATTATCCATGTGTTAGAAGCTAGGTTAGATGCTAGACAAACCATGCTTGTATAAGGGTAGCTGTATTCTACATGAGGTACAAATTTTAACCCATTGCAACAATCTCCATTAAGGAAAATGCTTTGGCTGATGTGTTAGCCAAGCAAGGGGTAAATAGGGAAGAACTGTTTTGGGCTAGCTGTGATTTCTGTAATTTATTTATTCCTAGTTTACTTGTAAGCTTCTAGGAGGGGTTGTAGCTCACACCTCTCCATGGGATATTGTACGAAATTACAATTCTAAATCAGTATCTGAATTAATAAAATTTTACTGTTACTCGTCAACAAATAAAAATCTCCATTAAGGCCTCTTTTGAATGAGATTTACCTAATAATTAGTTAATAACCTAGCATCTCTCTTCCTAAATCGTCCAAAAAACTGCTACCCTAGAACATCTCCATAAAACTTTTGCTTCTCTTTGAGGGTGAAAACAATGCCTCTTCAAACAATCTACCCTTATTGTTTGAATGGTCAATGGTCCAACCTACTGCCAAATAAAGAGAACACCAACTCCCAAATATTGGATGTAAAAGGATAGGAGATTAGCAAGCCAGAAATAGTTTTACCACTCGGTTAAGTTTGGGTTGGACAGACCTTTTCCAAATAAAACTAGCCAGAAAATTGAGGGGAGAAGGGGATCTAGAAAGCACATGGAAAAAGGAAGCTGTCAAGAAAAGAAAAACCATTGGAATTAGGACTCCACATATAGATGAATCAAAGAAAACACCCTTGATGGTAAATGAAACTTCACCATCCTTGAGGCCCCATCTCAAGCCCAAATCCCAAGACATACCAATAGCTAAGAAGCTAGCACATTGTGAAATTGTTTTGTTTTTGTTGTGAGGGGGAATAAATGGTAGGATATTTGTCTGTCAACAATGATTCCCCTACCTAAAGTTCCTTCCCAAAATTTCCTTTTTCACTCAAAGATGCATTGATCTTTATGTGAGGGAGAAATAAAGATAGAATGGAGTGTATAGCTTTCCAAGGCGCCTCAAGAGTGGTGCTAGAATCTAGGTCAAAATCTCAGCCATTGTCTAAAAGTCCATGAATGCTTAATCAGAAAATACCACAATTATAAAATAGAAAATGTATAGAAAAATATAATTATAATATAATATATTTAAATTTAAAAGGGTGAAAACTATTAAATAGACATTTCATAGACATTACAATATTCAAATTACAAACAAGGTTTTACTACAAGCATGAGGAATTTTGACAATCCCATTGATACCTTGGAGCTGAAAGAGCTCCCTCTTTTGCAAATTGAGTATACTCGATCAAATTTTCAATTCCCCCAACCTACTCTAAATTGGATAGGTTCCTATTTTCTTGTGATTGGGAAGAAATGTGGGGGACTTTAGTTTTAAAATCTTGGTCTAGAGTTACATTAAATCATTGCCCTCTATGAATTGAAAAAGAAGCTCCATTTGGAGGGCCTACACCTTTCTGTTTTGAAAATATGTAATTTGAGGATTCATCCTTTAACGAAAGGTTAAAGACATGGTGGGAAGAAATCAGAGTCCCAGGGAGAAAGAAAATAGGGAGATTTTGTAAGAAGCTAAAAAAATCTAAAAGAGAAAATAAAGGCTTAGAACAAAGAGCATTTTGGAAGAGTTGAAGAGATCAAAGTGACAATTTCTTCTAGGATTGAAGACTTAAACAAAAAAGAGGCTCTTAGAACATTGTCAGAGGAAAGGGAGGAAAGATGGAAAAAGATGGTAGAGTTGGAGGAGATTTTAAGAAAAGAGGAAATTTATTAGAGACAGAAATCAAAGAGAAAATGGATAATGGAAGGACATGGCAACACTAAGTTCTTTCACTCACTAGCAAATGGTAGAAGAAAGAAAAATACCATTCATGGTGTGGTGGTTGATGGTCAAGAGGTATGAGAAAGCTTGGAAATAGTAAGGATCTTTGTGAATCATTTTAAGTCATTCTTCTCAAAATCAGTAGGTCTTAGCCCAGGTCTACTGGAGTTGGATTGGAATAGAATCCCTGTGGAGCAAGCACCATAGTTTTCAAGGTGCCAAGTTGAACCTAGGCGACAAGGGAGCATTTAGTCACTTAGTCGCCTAGACAGGTGCCTAGGCATCATTTAATGTTTAAAAAAGGATGGAACAACAAGGGGCTGAGCCCCTGTGTTTGTTGTAGAAATATGAGTAAAAGAAGGGGTAGAGCCCTTATTCTTGTCATAAAAAAAGAAAGCATGAATAAAAACTTCAGAAATGGAGAACAAGGGGCTGCACCTCTGTTTTTTATTCCAAAAGAAGAAGAAAAAGAAGGGGCAAAGACCCTATTTTTATTCCAAAACGGGAAAAAAAAGAGGAACCCATGTTGATTTTCCTTGTTTCTTCAAAGACTTAGGAAGTTCGAATAACTCTCCCTGTTTGTTCAGTCTTTGAATAGCTATCAAAACCCTAGTTACATAAGAAACTAATAAAAAATATTATTTTATTAAAGAAATAAATAGAATGATTCAGTGCATCATACTCACCATAATATAAGCTCAAAATATAAAAAATATAAGAAAAATTGTATATTTTTTCCAATGAATTTTATGAGCTTTTGGATGTCTTTAATGAATTTTACTTTAAAGGGGAAATCCCTTTTGGAGCAAATGCCACTTTTATCTCCCTGATCCCTAAAAACAAGGAGATAATCTCTCCAAAGGATTTTAGGCCTATAGGTTTGATTGGGAGTCTTTAAGATCATATCAAAGGTTTTGGCTGAGGAGATTAAGCAAGCTTTGCCTTCAGTCATATCACCACTCCAAGGGGTCTTTGTGGAAGGAAGGCAAATTGTGGAACAAATCCTAGTAATTAATGAATGTGTTGTTGAGAAAAGGAAAAGTAGAGTGAAGGGGTTGGTGTGTGAATTGGATCTAGAAAAGGCTTATGATTTTGCTGACATGAATTTTTTGCTAGAAGTCCTAAAGAAACTGGGTCTTGGAGTTAGGTGGAGGTCTTGGATAAAGGGTTGTGTTAGCTTAGTCCACTACTCAATTCTTATAAATGGGGTAGCAAAAGATTTCTTTTCGGCTAAGAGAGGAATAAGACAAGGAGACCCTTTACCCCTTTTCTATTCACCCTAGTGGCAGAGGTGTTGAGTAGTATGATTGTGGTTGCAAATGCATAGGGTCTGCTTAGGGTTGGAAGATTGATAGGAATCAACTAGTTGTTTTCCACCTTCAATTTACTGGTGATACAATTTTGTTTAGTGAGGATGTCAATTTAACAATGGTGTGGAATTTGAAGTTACTGATTGACAACTTTGTGCGATTTTCAAAGTTGAGGATCAATTGGAATAAAAGTGGGGTTGTTGGAATCAACCTAGAAGAAGGGGAACTCTCAAGTTTTGCAAAGGTGTTGGGTTGTGAGGTGAGGAGTTGGCATGTAACCTACCTAGGATTACCTTTGGAGGGAAACCCGATGTCTAATGGTTTCTAGAAGCTAGTAGTAGAGAGGTTTGCTAAGAAACTAGCTCTTTGGAAAAGAACTTGTACTTAAGCAAATCTGCCCATCCATTTCCTATCCACTATTCGTGTACCAGCAAGGATTGCGAGACAACTTGACAAGTATATGAGGAACGCTTTTGTAGGATCCAGTTGAGAAAAAGAAGGATCATTAGGTTAAGTGGGAATTGGTTCGCAAACCAAAGGAATTAGGGGGCCTAGGGTTATGTAACATTACTGACAGAAACACTACTTTATTAGGTAAATGGTTATGGAGATTCCCCTTTGAAATAGACAAGATCTGGCACAAGGTATTAGCAAGCATTCATGGTCTAGAGGGTAATGGATGGGATGCTAAACTCAGTCCTCACTCAACTTTAGCTTTCCTTTGGAAAGCAATTCGCGAGGTATACCCTCCGTTCTTTAGTTTTATCCGCTATGATTTGGGAAGGGGTGACAAAACCTGGTTCTGGGAAGCCCTTTGGTTAGGGGAAACTCCTTTCAAGACCAGTTCCCTGATTGTTTTGCCGTCTCTAACTTCAAAGGTGAATCTTTGTCCAAAGTGGGAACTTCTCCCTCAGGCATCAACTAGGACCTTGGTTTTAGAAGAGGTCTAAGGGAGAGTGAGTGCTTTTCTATGATTAACCTTCTCGACATCCTGGAGGAAGCTTTTTTGGATCCTACCTTGGATGACTCTACAATCTGAGTTTCCTCACCTGATGGGCTCTTGTTCCTCTTTTTTCAAGCATCTAGACCTACCTGCTTCACAAGGGGTGGACTTCCCAGTAAAAGAAGTGTGGACTAAGCCTGTCCCACCAAAAGTTCAAGCTTTTTGTTGGGAATCTTTCCTTTGAAAGGTAAATACTTGTGATGTGTTGCAGAAAAGGAGGTCTTTTTCGTGCCTCTCTCCTCATAGGAAAAGTGGAGAAACCCTACTCCACTTTAATCTCCTGTTCCTTTGTTCTTTGTATTTGTGAGTTTTTCTGTTCTCTTTGGGTGCAGGTGGGACCCTCCTTAAGAGGTGGCAGACATTTTCAACCCAAATTTCCTAAGACAACCAAAGAAAGAGGAAGATTGATGTGGAGAGTTACTAAGGCTGCAACCATTTGGGTGGTTTGGGAGGAAAGGAATAGCAGAATTTTTAATGGAAAGAGTAGAACTGTGGAGGAGATAATAGAGATTATAAAAGCGAAGTAGCAATATGGATTAAAACTTTGGGTTTGCTTTCAGAGCTTCATAGTTAATGACATTCTAAGGGCTTGGAAGGAGGTAGCACAGTCCTATAGAGACAAAGAGTAAGAATAGAGTGGAAACCCCCACAAGGAATTAAAGTGAAGTTGAACTTTGATGGAAGCTCCTTGGGTAACCCGGGTATGGCAGGATAGGTGGGGAAATTAGAAACTCAGAGGGCATATTAATGGCTCTTTATTCTGGGGCAATTGGTGTAGCTAATTCCATAAAGGCTGAATTTATGGCTTTACTACATGGTCTCAGGTTGGCTAAACAATTGGGATTCAAACAGTTGGAGGTGGAAGGGGACTCAAAAAGTAATTATTTCATTGGCAAGATGTAGAAATATTCCTTGGACTTTCAAGAATGCTTCAGGGAAGTTGAAAGGATTGCAAGAGAATTGATTGATGAATTTAAGTGGGTTAGAAGAAGTGCAAATGGGTTAGCTAACTCCCTTGCTAAACAAGGGGTAACATGGCAACAATTGTTTTGGGCATCTTTGTAATATAGCTATATTAGTGGGGATGGTGTCATGGTCATCAAGTTGTACTGTTTTTACATACAAGTAATCAATATAACCAATTTTCTATTGATAAAAAAAGCTCAGAGCTGCTCTTAGAACTTTTTTGCTTTTCAGAGATCAGATTTTAGGTTTATGAATACCATTTAGACTGAGTTACTGATCAGACGCCACATAAAATGATTTAAAATGACCAAGTTGCCCTATGAATTAAAATTTAGAAAATATAAAAAACAGAAAATCCCTGTACTAAACTTTGGGGTCACCTTCATGCCCACATCAATGGGTACATCTTATAGGAAAGACTTCTATCTATGAATTAAAAATTCATGGATGTAAGATGATATAGAGTATGGTGAATAATATATAAACCTTTACAATGGCATGCATTTTAGTGTATCAGAAAACTGATATTTATCTTGAAAATTAAGATGCATGAAAATTATCCAGAACAAATGCAATATGATGCATGGAGAGATTGGCTTTAGGATAGAGTTGTAGATGTTACTTATAGCTAATAAGAGATGGCTTACGTTTTGATAGCATGAGAAAGTGTTCTTCATGTATGCATGGATGTATTTTGGCAAACATATTTTACTTCTAATGATTTGTGACACTAGTCTAGCCAATTTGTAGGTGAAGTAATGGATGGTGAAACCCAAAGCACCAGTGATCATTCAAGGACTAGTTGGACACCACCAATGGACCGATATCTCATTGACCTTTTGCTAGATCAAGTGCGTAGAGGAAATAAGATTGGTCATTTGTTCAACAAACAAGCATGGACAGACATGGTTGGGTTGTTCAATGACAAATTTGGGCCTCAGTATGATGAAGATGTTTTGAAGAATCAGCACAATAGTTTGAGGAAGCAATACAATGACATTGTAACCCTTCTTGGTCAGAGTGGGTTCACTTGGGATGAAAGGCGCCAAACAGTGGCAGCTAATGATTATGTATGGGATGATTACTTAAAGGTACATAATTTGTTTATGACATGTAACCTATGGCATTTATTATTGCAACTTGCAAGGAGCTTATATACAATACTTGCAGGCACACCCAGATTCACGATTGTACAAAACAAAAATTGTGCCGTACTATAATGATTTGTGCATAATATATGGACATGCAATTGCTGATGGAAGATACAGTCTTTCAAGTCATGACATGGACCTTGGCAGTGAAGGTGGGTACTGGGGGAAATGCATGAACCTTGGATCAATTTAAAGGTGCGTTTGTTTCTTGGGATTGGAATTGAACTATAGAGTTTCTATTCCTAGCCCAAGTTGTATTATCTGGTGGATTAAGATTCTGGACTGCAAAATAAGCATCCAGCTTTTTATATGTTGCAGGGACTACTATGAGCTTTATTCTTGTCACTAATTGATTGTTGTGCCTTAGTAGCAAGTATGTTATTTTCTTTGATGCATGTGTACAAAAAGAATGTGTTTTGCTGACTGAATGGATTACTTTGCTGAAAAAGTTGCAGGGAAAAGAACGGATACCCAACTCACCATCAGTGGTGATTGTTCAAAAATTGATTGGACAATGACAATGGACCATTACTTTGTTGAACTTATGAAGGATCAGGTGCACAAGGGAAATAAAATTGGCCATATATTCAAGAAAAAAGCATGGGTTCAGATGATTGCATCATTCAATGAAAATTTTGGATTTCAATATGAAAAGGATGTTTTGAAGAATCGGTACAAAAATTTGAGAAGGCAATACAATAATATTAAGATTCTTCTTGGCCAAAGTGGGTTTAGTTTGGATGAAACACAACAAATGGTGATAGCAGATAATTGTGTTTGGGATGATTATATCAAGGTAGGTACACTGTGTTCATTCAATCTTACTAGTTTTGTCACATGTCAACTACAAGAAGCTTAGATATGCTAAATTGATAAATGCAGGCACATCCCAATGCTCGAGTGTTCAGAAACAGAGTAATTCCATATTATAGTGATCTGTGCATGATATATGGTGACACAACTACTGATATAAAATTCAATCACTTGGATCAAGGCGGTGAGCTTGACAATATCGTTAATGTGCAGAGCGTTGTGACACCAGGAGGTCAACACTCTCAGGCCATGCCTGTTGCACAAGGGGGGCTAATGCATTCATCTAGAAACTTTGACACATTGGATCAACAGAACAAGCGTAGGTCTGAAATTCCGTCAACATATCAACATTCTAGAAAATCACGGAGGTGCTTACATAATGATATGATGGAGGCTCTTCATAAGATGGCAATGGCCATTACATCATTGACAAATAAAAAGGAGATTGACAACTCTTTCTCAACAGAAAATGTGATTGGTCTTCTTCAGGCTGTACCAGACATGGATGAAGAGCTTCTATTAGATGCCTGTGACATTCTGGAGGATGAAACAAATGCAAAGATATTTTTAGCCTTGGATGCCACACTACGAAAGAAGTGGTTAATAAGGAAGCTTCGTTCATGGTAGTCTCGTTATGCATCCCATTTTAGATGTTTTCCATCTTTTGGTGTGGTGGGACATGTTTAATTCATCACTATGTTATGGTAACTACATGCGTCGGCATTGAAGTATTTAGATCTTTGGGATTCTTCAATTTCTGTGTACTATGTTGAACTGTTGATTAGGATTAATTCTCATGATTAGTTTAACTGGGGGTTATTTTCAATATAGGCTCAGTTTGGAAGGAGTACAAATACAAATTTGTAAAGTTCAAAACCTTGTATTTTGTATTATTTTGTATGGATTTGTACTGTACATATTTGTATTTGTACTCCTTCCAAACTGAGTCATAAGTGATTTGATAGAGAGTTGATTTGGTTGAAGAGAGAGCTGAAGACCTTTATTAGCGAACTAAATGTGTATGATTTAGTTTGAAGTTTACCATTCAGTTATCAAAAATTAAATTAAAAAAAAAGTAATATGGGTCTTGCATCTTTGTAATTGGTAATATATTCTGACCTATTTTTTTTTAAATCTATTATTAATTTATGTTTTTTTAATTTGATTTAAGATATTACTTTAAAAATAGATTTATCAGGAGGGCTTCTAACATTTAAACCCATAAAAACTTCCTAAATCTTTGTACTTAATATTTCAGTGGCTAATGATTTAATGCATTGATTCGCCTACGAAAAAACAAAACTATTGGATACTTCATTTTTTCTTGATTTTTTCAGTTTCAATAGTTTTAAGGATAGATTTATCAGGAGGGCTTCTGACATTTAAGCCATAAAAGCTTCCTAAATCTTTATATTTAACATTTCAGTGACCTTGAAAACCAATACTTATTATACTGTATTATATGATACATATCGATGCTTTGAAGTTTGAACCATGTCCAAACCCAAATCCTTTTATATGCATTGGTTGTAGGTCTTACTGGGTTCAGGCTTGGGTTTGGCTCATGTGGCTATTGACTACCTGAACGGCTTAACCTGCAAAAATGATTGGATCTAATTAGGTAATAGAGTTCCACAAATTCTTATTGAAAACGATGAAAATAACTAGGAAAAAAAACGAGAAAGGATAGAATTATTCTTTGGTGGAGTGCTGCTATAGTATAATCTCAACCTCACCAGCTTATTAAAATCACCCCTTCTATATTATTGTGGATGATTTGGAAGGAATGATGCTCTCGTAGGTTTGAGGGAAATGGTGTTTCTTATTTGATTCTTACAAATAAAATTGAGAGGTGCGTGATGGAAATTAATTTGGCTTATGATAGACTTCCATATCCAAAGAGAAATCCTTTAAATTTACAAGTTTTAAATATTATTTTGCCATTCAAGAAAGAGAATTGGTGGGTCTATTGTCTTCTCAATTCCAGTTCATAATAAATGTTGATGGAGCATGTCGTGGCAATGGTATTTTCTACTTTGCTGGTCATGACACCTCTTTTAGAGCTAAATGCATGGCTATCCATGAAGGGCTTAAGCTTTGTTATGAAAATGGTATAAAAGCTTTGTTTTTTTTTTTTTTTTTATAAATATGGTGTAAAAGCTTTGTTATGAATGCATGTCTACTTATTCATAAAGATTAGAAGTCTATTTAATTCAATGAGAAACAAATTTGCTCACATGCTTTGGGAAGGGAATATATGTATATGGAAAGAAGTAGACATGTGTTTCACTCTTCTCAGGATCTTCCTCGGGATCTCTTGAACTTCATGCAGACTATATGTGGCTACCGATCCTTAGGTTAGATTAATGCTTTATTTGATTTGTGACTTTTTCTTTGTTCTGTTTTTTGCAATACTCTTGGGCAGGGTTGAGAGTGGAAGGAAGTACATTTTTCACTTGGGTTTTGGGGCAAGACAGGCTACATCCTCCCATGTAATTCACTCTCCTTTTGATAATAGTTGATCAATAAAATCCGTAGGTGGCTGCCCCTCCACCTAGAATAAATTTTGGGGTTAAAAATCAAAACAAAATAAATAAAAAAAAACTAGGAAAAAAAAGAAAGTGTAGATAATTTATTCCATCTTATAAATTTCAAATTTTATATGATATTCCACTATTGGATTCTAAATCAAAATCGGTTAGAACCGGAATGGATTGGTCCATAATTTGAATGTTCAGACAGGAATTTGAATGAGAATTAAAATCAGCTGCAATGTGGATTTCATTCCCAAGGGAGAGGGAGGGAACGACCATACCTAGACCTGGCAAAAAGTTGACCCAACCTGTGAATCCGACCCTAACCCACCAAAAAAATAGGGTTAGGGTCCCCATGTCCTGACCTGAAAGTGTGCTTGACCCGAACCCGACACGACCTGATTCTGTCCGAGTCGGGTTGGTTCACGGGTCACCCGCTGGGTCAGCCTAAAACAAGGTTTGTAAAAGTAAAACTTAAAGCTCGGATGGGGTGGGGTGGGGTATTTTTTGTAATTATAGTTATAAATGAGTCTTATTACCAACAGGACTAGGACTAGGAGGCTAAGACTCTATCTATTAGAGTCAAACCAAGAAACTAGTTTTTAGTCTCGTCCGTCTCTTACTTTCCTTTATTAATTTTCTTGTTTTTTAAAAGTCTCTCCAGTCTTCTTTAGTCTTCTTCTCCATTCTCACTTTTACGTTTTAGTCTTCTCCATTCTCACTTTTACGTTTTCTTGTTGTTTTTTTTTTTCTTACTCTTTTTTTTATTTAATGTATTTAATTTTTACCTTTTAATTTTTATTAATAGATTTTAATTATTTTTAATGGTTTATTTTGCATAGAATGATGAATGGTATAATTAATCTTTTCTTTTCTATTTAATTATTTTTAATGGTTTTTAATGATTTAAGTTATATGTTCCTAATGATGAACGAACACAAATTTTTATAAATTCTTTTTTTTTATTTTTCTATAAAAATATGATTTAAGGAATGAAAAATAGGATTTGTTTGTTTTTTTTTTAATTTTGATTTTTTCCTAATCTTGTACATTTTCCTTTTAAATTCGAATTTTCTTTAATCTTCTTTTTAAATTTTATTGGTCCAAAATGTTTTTGTTGCTTTTTTTAGCTAATGAATAATTCATTCAAAAATAAAAATAAAAATGTCATTTGCTTACTAATTCATTGTCTTTGTTTTGTTTGTATTTTAGTTCTCAAGAGTAAATCATGTCTTCTGTGCATGTGATTGATAGTGATTGTAATATCGTGGAGGACTCCTTAAGTGCTTCAAAAAAAAAAAAAGAAAAACGATGAACATCTTTTGGTTTGGAAAGAATTTGAAATTATTGGAGGAGATAAATTTGAAGATAAAAAATTAAGAGCAAAGTGCAAACATTGTTCTAAAGTATACATCGCAGACTCTTCACATGGCACTTCTAATTTCAGACGTCACATTGAAATTTGTCCTAGACGTAATTGTAAGGATGTGGGTCAATTGATGATATCTAAAGAGGGGAAATTGGCTAGAAAAATTAATCTTGAAATTTATAAAGAATTTATAGCATTATCTATTATACGACATGGATATCCATTTTCATATGTTGAACATGAAGGGACAAAAAATGTTTGGTGTTATCTAAATAAAGATGTTAGAACATTAACTAGGAACGCTACTAAAGCACATTGTTTGAAAATCTATAAGAGAGAGAAAGAAAGACTTAAACTTGCTTTAAAAAATGTTCCTATTAGGATTTGTTTGACATGTGATATGTGGATTTCTTCATTTACTTAGGGGTACCTTTGTCTCACTGCACATTATGTGGATCATAATTGGAAGTTGAATAGCAAAATTTTGAACTTTTGTCATGTTCCTCCTCCACACAATGCATTTGCTTTATATAGAAAAGTGTATGATTTATTGAAAGAATGGGGAATTGAGCACAAAATATTCACAATCACCTTATATAATGCAAGGTGCAATAATAATATGCAAGATATTTTGTGTGATCAACTTAAATCTTGTTTGCCTTGTAATGGTGATTTTTTTCATATTCGATGTGGTACTCATATTTTGAACCTTATTGTACAAGAAGGTTTGAAAATGATTGATGATTTTATATATAAAATAAGAGAGGGAGTGAAATATGTGATAGGATCAGAGGCAAGGAAAATAAAGTTTGAAGATTGTGCAAAGCGTGGGGGTTGTATTTGTTTCAAGGGTTTATGGTTGGATTGTCCAACAAGATGGAATTCCACTTATATGATGCTTGAAAGGGCACTCACCTATCGTCGTGCCTTTGTTAATTTGCAAAGTGTAGACAAAAATTATATTTGGTGTCCAACAGATGAAGAGTGGTCAAGGGTTGGAAGATTGAGTTGTATTTACTTGAAGAAATGGAGAATCAAGATCTCTTTATAAATGATATGGCACAAAGAATGAAGAGTAAATTTGATAAGTATTGGGATTCCTATAGTGTGGTGCTTGCATTTTCTATAATACTTGATCCTCGTTACAAAATGGGACTTGTGAAATTTTGTTATCAAAAATTAAATGAGGAAACTGCAAATGCAAAATCAACCTATTTTTATAATCAGTTGTGCAGACTCTTTAATGACTATGCAAACAAGAACTCTAGTGCATCATCATCAATTACACATTCAGTAGAGAATAATAATGTTAGAACTGATTTAGATGAAGATGACGACATTCCTATAAGTTTAGTGTGTATAATGTAATTTAATTCCTCTATATTTCATTATATTTATAATTTTTAAGACTTATGACTGTTGATTTTTTATGTAGGAATTTAATTACTTTGAGAAAAAACAATTAAATTCAAATAAGTCAGAGCTAGATGTATATTTGGATGAACATAGACTTGATCACAAGCAACAACTGAATGTTCTTTCTTGGTGGAAAGATAACCAGTATCGGTTTCCTAATCTATCTCTTATGGCAATTGATTTATTAAGTATTCCTATAACTACTGTTACTTTAGAGTCAGCTTTTAGTATGGGAGGTAGAGTTCTAACCAAATGGAGAGCTTCTCTTTTGCCAGAAAATGCCCAAGCTTCTCACTACTCGTAATTGGTTATTTGGATATCATGGTCAGTTAAATTTTTATTTTGATTTGTTTCAAACATTACAATTTATTTAGATGATAATATATATTTTTATTTAATTATCAAATACATTTCTTACATTATTAATGCTTTAATATTTTATCTTCTTTGACTTAATGCAGTTGATGATAATGAGACCAAGGAAATGACG